TGTCTATTAGAGTTTCTTGGAAAAAAAAATGAGACATCTTCCTTATTTTTAATGCTTTCCTAGAAGTCTCGTTTATTAACGTCATTTTACAATAAAGGTCAAGTGTGGAGTACTATTTAACAAGTGATTGTATGTTTATGAAAGTTAATTAATGAAGGGTATCAAGATCATAGCAAGTGGCGTTTCGTAGTTTTTGCTTCTTATTTTAGTTTATCTTAATTTAGTATCATTACTAATATTATAAATCGGAAAGTGAGTTTCTTTGTTTGTTCTGCTTTCACGCCGTAACTACTAAACCGATTGCTTTGATTTATTGTAGACGTAAAGTTAGAAGTCCAGATTAAATAATAGGATACTTTTATCCCGGAAAAAATTGATATTCCCGAGGGAAAACAAAAGTATTGGTATAGATGGCGCTGTGTGTATTGGTATATGTCACATAGGCAGGCTACTTTTTATCCTTATGTGACGCGAGCGAAGCCGCGGGTAAAAGCTAGTTTAACTCGTCGAGTACCGGTTTTGTAGACACAATTATAGAACAATAGGTTGCGGTCACCGGTGACCGCTTGGTGTTTGACAGTTTAAATTATTTTGCTTTGAAAAAATGTTATCAGTAGTTCTATTGGCAAAACATAATTATTGTTAGTTCCTCAAAATATTATGAATAAATTATAAACTCGAAATGAAATAAAAGTAAAGCAGCAAATAAAAAAAAACAAAAGAAATATTGTTATTTATTTATCAAGTCCACTTTTTGGTTTAAATATAAAACTTTATCATTTTATAATATTGTGTTTCAAGTTCAAGGTGTGCACCAAAGATTATTATCTCTACCTCATATGTATTTTGATCTCACCCGTACGACAATAAAAGTGTTCTTGATGGAGAAAACTGTAACGAGAAGAGAATCGTTAAAATTATGATGGACTATCACGAGTTGACCCCGAGCGTAAGGTCCGATGGTGATGTGTTTTATGAGCTATCAGACAACCACGGATTGACCCAATAGGGCTGATGGGCTAACGGGATGCCGGGGCTCCGGCTGGAAATGCAGGAGTAGGAATGGGGTAGTTTTTAGTTAGAAAGAGTGGGACACTCCCTCCCTCCATACACAGGCGGGAGAAGTCCATCGATGAATCTTAAAAAAAAAACATGACAATGACTTGATGACAAAAGACTGCTTGGCATAGATATTAGGTAATTTGAAAACTGAAACTACTAGTTGTAGATAGCTAAAACTCCGCATATATCCTGTTCCTGGAGCGCTCTTTCGGGATACAAAAAAAATATACATGCCAATTGTGATTTATAACTATTACATTATACTATTACTTACTTACTACCTCTATAATGATCTGGACCAATAAATACATGTCTTGTCCATCACACGTGTTTTGTTTTATATTTTCGTATTAACGTAACCTTTTGCTGTTTATCTTTATAGATTACATACTAATTGATAAACTTAAAGGTTATGCTATTCTATTCTCTTTACATACATATACATTACATACATATAATATTCTAATATTGAGTTATATATATATTCGGAATCAGCGAATTTTTCTCCGTCGAATATATATAATAACTCAATATCGCCCAAAATGTCGCTTAAACCAAATAGTCCGCTACCCCTCGATATAGTACTGAATATATATTTTATATAATGCATTGATTCATATGCATTTATATTTTTCTTCCCGAAGATCTCTTCAAGCAAAGGTGCTATTAATTTCTGCTCTTGTTTATGAGAGCCGAAAAGTACAATCGTTTTTTATATTATAGCTTTCGTGAGACAAACTCGACTAGTTTCAAGCCATGCTAGAGGCTCATATTCATGAGCAGCATTTCGCGACTATCGCGCTGCTACTGCAGAACTTCCTCGTCATGAAATTACGTGAGTAAGCCGAAAACATAATAATATATTAAGTACAATCGTCTCTATATGATCACTCGACTACCAAAATCGCCTCACAAGACACAATTATAATTAGGGTAAGTTTACTTGTTCGCGTCCACCCTACTAAAGTCTTTTTCACGCCAACCCACCAGTTCTCATCTATTTCATGGATCGCCATGAATGTAAGATATTTAAAACGTAAAAGGTCCAATAGATGTGTACTAAATACCTAGATAAATAAATACTAATATGGTCACAGTTTTCTTATTTTCGTGAATTTTTAACTTGTATTCCGTAACATTAACGCGAACTGGTGGGTGGACGCCAACAGGCAAACTTATCCTGTCTTATGTTTTCCTCATTATAAGTTTTCACATAGTGTTTTTTATTTTAATATACTTATAACAGAAAACAATAAACAGACAAGGCGGATTATTTAGCTAATTTTACTACCGTCTAGAAATTAATTATTATGAAGGTTAAAGTTCAGGACATCTGCCTGTGGGCGTTAACTAATGAGGGTTGCAATAAATGAGATTAAGGTTTTTACTTCTTAAAGAGAATGTTATCCAAAGTAGAAAATTAGGATCTTTATTATAATTGAGTATTTTTCCGTCATGCATAGTTTTTTTTCATGAGATAAGTCGGTAAACGGGCAGGCGGATCACCTTATGGTAAGCAATCGGCGCCGCCCATTGGTATCTGGAACACTTGAGGCGTTACAAGTGCCTTACCGAGGATTGTTAGAGATCCAGGGATTGGGGAGATTGGATAGACGGTAATTGGGCCTCCGGTAACCTCACTCATACGACGAACTCACACAACGGAAACGTTGTTATCACGTCGGTTTTCTGTGAGGCCGTGGTAACTCCGAGCCAGTCCATTTGTGCTAAAGCTTGGCTCTCCCACACTTGATAAAATATTTTGATAAAATGAGGTTCCACTCACACTTCCTAGTCGTTTTCCACAAAGGCTGAAGCTCTTTCAAAGGTTTCCTAACACCATGTTAATTAGAAAAGGTTATATATCAAACTATCAATCTTTAAGAAGTTTTAGATTAAAAGATGTCTTTAGTTTTTCTTACCTTTTGGTGCCTTATCGTGTATCAAGTAATCGAGTATTCAAGTAATCAAGTATTTATTGCATCCATAATGTACATATACAGGTGGTTAGAAAATACAATTAGTAACAATTATGGACCCTGTCGGGCACAGCAATATTTAAAATTGGTAGGTATCCTAATGCATTTTTCCAGACTAAGAAGAAAAACATGTAAACTTCTAAAAGAACACTTGTGTAAGGACGTACGTTAGAAGCAGATGTTGACTAAACTTGCCTTAAAGAAAATGCACTTAAGTTTTGAAACAACAGAGCTTTGAAAACTGACACATAGCAAGATAGTCCATTTGCAAGTCTACTACGTTTGCTTACCCACTTTAAGCTAGTATCTATCTTCTGTACGCAATAATACTTCTGAGTGATTTATTGTATGTGTCTGCATCTCGAAATTCCAACTTCGATACGCAGGTTGCGATATTTATTATTAAGTTATCGGATAGGTTCAGACAACGACTGTCTCTTTCTTTGGCTGAGTGGTCGCAAGTGCGACTGCTATACAGAAGATCTTGGGTTCGATTCCCGGGTCGGGCAAAGTAGTAAATTCACAGTAATAGCACGGAGTCTGAGATTGTGCCCGGTATATGGTAATAGGCTCACCTCCTTTTACCCTGGACTCATAACTTAAATAGTAAAAAGTAGGTGTTACATTGTACAGTGGCATTAAGTGCCGTAAGAAACATCTCTCTCATCATCCCTTCGGTGTTAAAGGGGTGAGGTTCAGTAAGTAAGTTCTCCGATTATGATATACTCTAACAGTACCGAACTTCTATGAACCTTCGCCTCGATTTTAACGTTGAATTCTAAAATAAGAGCATTGATGCTTGTTAGCAAAGCTGGTTTCGACTTTATAGTTTAGAGTTTGAATGCATAAATATTATATTAAATTAAACATCAGAACACGCATTCCTGTTTCTAAAGTTTTCCGGTGCAGGCTTCCAGATGAATAGAATCAAAATTGTTTGTTTTAATTAAACAAAACATATGCGAGTCGGTAAGTAGAATTCGTTGTTCGCTACTGAGAAAGCTTGGGTTCCTGAATTTCAAATATAGTGAATTATTTAGTTTAAACTACGTCTGTGGCTCGCGTCTGTGAAAATGTGATGAGATGAAATTATGTTATGTAGGTTGTTTTAAGCTTAGACATAAGTGATCTTAATATATTTTAGAACAGCGGGTTTACTCCTGAATCAATTTCGATCGATCGACACTGGTATTGTACTCTTAAGTTGCAATACTAGCGCCCTTTGCATCCGTATAGCGTGGATATGTAACTGAACTGAATGGTATTGAGTTTGGCTTAATGCTATTAATGCTATTTTAACAGTTACGATAGGGTTTGTATAGTTTTGATATTGAATCATTATTGACATTTTATTGGATTGAAATTCAATTGACTTTACGACAGGTTTCAATAGTAAGCACCCTGGTCTGCTAGGCTTTCATATCCTGCTTAACACCAGGCTGAAGGATTTGTTTGTTTGATCGTCCTAACCTCTGAACCCTATAGTATTGAATTTGAAGTTTCTTTTTAAATTTGATATCCATAAGTAAAAAGGAACATAAAATCTCATAATTTTCCATTGGGAGAAATAATTAATAAAGAACTAATAAAATTTTTTTAGTCTACATTCTTTTGAAGAAGTTTTTCTTCTTGTTTAAATACATTTATTAAAACTAAGACATTGTATTAAAATGAAAATCTTACTTCAAAATATTTTCTTAGTTTTAAACAATTTTAAATTAGTTTCCTTTCAGTCTAGTTACTTTCTCACAATAACAAAACTTGCGCTCTAAAAATCACATAAACTTAGGAATTTTTAAACATGTGCCCCTTTTCAGCAAATGCATTAACTTCTTTAATTAGCTTTGTGCCATCGAAGTACCAAATGACCGATATTAGAACACCATAAAATAATCCCGTGGTTGCGTCTCTGCGCAGTTTTGCCGCGTTGATTCCCGTCTGAACATCCGAGAGTGTCAGTCGGTGGCGTGTTCCCGCCGGAGTAACACGTGTGTCCCGTATCTCGAAACGTTCCACGACCCGCGTATTTTACGTGAGCGAATTTTAAACTTCAGTGTTAAAATGTGAAACTTTAATACGTGAAATGTTTAATGATGTGCCACCTTGATTAGTGTCGTGTGGTTTCCCAATGAATTTTGGTTATGAATACAAATTAATTAAAGACTGGCTGGATTTTGATTATCAAATTCTCTTGTGAAAGGTACGTTAATTTGTGATTAACTGGTGTATTATTTCGATATTCAGCTCTTATTATATTGAATTATGGGACATTTTGGAATAACTTATTATCTTCCATTATAACTACGTTTGGGCTTATCTGATGCTAAGCAATAACGTTAGGGACCAAGGCCCCTTTCCTTTGAGTCAAAGGGAACCCGGTTGATCTATTTTTAGTTAATGTCATCTGGCTACTGTGGATGATATTTCCTTAAAATGATGAAAGCTATCAGTCAAATATAAAAGGAGATTATAAAGTCAAACACTTCAAAAGCAATTAATTGATAACTTTCGGGGAAAAATTGTTGGTTCTAATGAATTATTTTATAGATAAAAGCAATGAAATATTATTTATAATTATCATCAAAATGAGAGTATCGTTCAAGTTTACATTATTATTATGTTCCAAAAAAAATTGAAGCCCATTGAAGAATACCGTTGCGGTTGAACGCACAGATCGGTCAGAGGCATGGCTAAAAATTTCCCGTAACTGGGGTAGTACCGTTTTATTTACATGCAAATACACATGTTGCCCACTCTTCTGTTGTGTTTTTTGTTGAAAAATTCAGTACATTTTTGTTCATTTTGTCATGGAAAACTGCTATGGAATAATTTAACACCTTAACTGCCGACACTATCTCGCCTGTTATAGGCAAGTCTTTCGCTAACGTAGGTCATCGGTGACCTACGCGGCGGTTGACGTATTTTTGCAGTACTTCAGTAACAGTGCATGGAATTGTGCTCAGTTTTTAGTAACAGACTAGTCTACTATAAATTACAATGTGACATAGATATGGCATGCGAAAAGATAGTGTACCAATAGATGATTTACTAAGTCAGGAGTGACTACTGTGACTAATTTAGATGTGTTCTGGCAACTTAAAAAACACTATATATGCCAGACAAGTGGATACGCAACATAGGTGCATAACTTTTTTAAACGACATCTGTCTCTCTAGTATTTCATATTTCAAGTTTTGATTATTGATAAAAATATTAACAAGACCTTCTAAAAATATAGTATAAGATTTAAATGCAACAATTATTAACAACATCTTAACAAATAAATCGTAGTATAGCCATGAAATTATATTCCTATACATATTGTACTGAACTTTAAGTTTCATACTCTCTGTGAATGGATGTAGACAAAGTTCTATAAAGGCAGTCACCGACACCAGTCTAAACTAATGCCTAGAGCGTCTCGACAGACAAATTATACGTGTAATTACTAACACTCCTAACTTTAAGCCTGTGTGAAAAGCTAACCTCGATAGAAATCTAATTAAAGTACCCTTCCTAGTAAAACATTACCTACGCCTGTTTATGTCCCAAAGTGAGGTAGGTAGAGAACTAAATTTAAGTACATAATATTATTTTACTTATTGTGTTTTATAAGTTTTGTTTAAGATATCTAAGCACGATCCCAAAATTCCTTTACATATGTAGTTAGCGAGAATGTTCAAATCGAAATTCTCATTGGTCCGGAGATCGGACGGCATAAAGTACCTTCGTAGCACAAAGACATAATCTATTTGTCACTGAAACCAAAATAACATTAATTCAATTGCTTTGAGAAACATTATTATCTAAGAGACAGTAAAACAGTGACACCTGAGTTATTTCTGTTTTATTTTACTTTTCAGTTCGCCTTGATAATTTCATTTCTTCCAGCTAGGGCTGTCGCATCATAAAAATTATCTCCAAGTATATGAGACAGTAGAAATGGTAGGAAGATTTTAATTTCTTTTGAGTTAATGCTCTTGAGAAAGAAAACTCAATAAAGAAGACACGAGATCTTCGCTAAGTTACAGTGGAATGGATTAATAATGAAATATGATGTTAACTTCTCAATGCCCGATTATTAAAAATCCACAAAAAATATTTGTTCATTCAAAAGTAGTCTCTAAACATCGGTAATATAGGGTGGTGTGTTACTAATAGCACGGAATTGTATCATATTTGATCATTGGAAAAAATTAACAAGTTTTAAATTGTAGAACAGATGATAATGACTAACATGATCAACAGCCTATAGCCTCTTCTCACACCGAAAAGGTTTGAGCAATAATCATCATGTTTGCTCAATGCGGTTTGCCGATTTTAAACATACAATTAGAAATTAGTAGTCCAGGTTTCCAGGTCCATATAATCTTAGAAAGTACACATAAGTGGGAAAAAGTCACATTGGGGTTTGCCGTGTAGGTTTCGAACCGCACCCTCATGCATGAGAAGCGGTCTAAAACCTCCAGGCCGCCACGACACAGTAAATAATAATTATTATAGCTATTCGAAACTGTTTTTATTGATTGTTTATCTATACTTTACATAGACGAATGGATGCGGACGAGTTCGTGAGCAACTCGTTGTCCACAGATTGTTGTTTCGGGTCTGAGTATCATGTGTTTGTGAACTTGTATATTTGTAAACGCACCCACGACACAGGATAGATCCTAGTGTGAGGCAACGTTTTCTTTTTATAAAACTACATTATGTAAGGAGGTGTTATACAGCTGTCTCACTACAAAATTTAACAAAATTACACGCGCTTATAGTGTCAGGAACTAATGAACATCGTTAGCATCTATCATAATTAACACTTGAAGTAACAGTGGTTGCTTTAAATACAACCTTATAATAATGGTAGTACATTTCTATTTTAAGCACTCGCTGCCAATCAAGGACCCATCTTATTACTACACTATTTGCGTGATTAACTGTATCATTGGGCTCGAAGCGCAGGAGAAGGAACGGGGTGGTTTTTAGTCAGTAAGAGTCTGACACTCCCTCCCGCCTCACCCAGGGGAACAGTCATTCGATTATTTTCCTCCCTTAAAAAAAATTGATCATGTAGATAGTCGTCAGTGCGAGTGCCTAGCAAATAGTCTCGGATTCGATTACCGGGTATAATAAGGATAATAGGTTTTCTGAAAATTTATCACCACCTAGTACCACCAACGCATAGCCAAACTCAGTAATAACACAAAGCCGGTGGCTTCATACTGACCACAATTCTGAAAAATTAGTCAGGCTCATAAATAGGTACTTAACTATGTTTTATGTTTAAGATATTATGATTGATTACAGCAACTTGAAAAGTAGATGAGCCGTATAAGACATTTTTTATATTATTGTTTGTATTTGATGGGCTGACGTTTGACCACTATCTCGCCTGGTGGTAAGCGATGATGCGGTCTACGATGTAGGACGTCTATATATCCTATAAGCATCCATGTTCAATAATTTTTATGAAAAGATTAAAAACACTCGAAGGTTTAAATCGCTATCACTTTTTGTCACTTCAAAATGGTTGTCTAGTGTAAATTTTGATTACAATCACAGTAACAGTTGAATATACAATTCCATACACAGTTACACATTTTATAGTCGAACTATTGCAACTAGTTTCACAAAATACGGCTTCGTTGGGCTGACTTTGCTAGACTAACTTTTAGACATAATGGTCGAGTAAATTCATGGAATGGACGAATATCTATCTAGTTTTTGTTTTTGATATCTTATCTTGAAGTGAACCCCATATATTTTGAACTTAGAATGGGCTACGGCTGGGTTTAATCATGTAGATTATTATATGACTTAACCATATAGTATCTTTAGTCTACTGGTCTACTATTGTCTGCTAGTCTACTATGGTCTACTAGTCTAGTCTACTTATTTTAAATTTATAGATAAGCTAAAATATACTTAATGTATAAGGGTGTAAAGTTTGTTTCTTGGTTTCAACGCACTAATTTCCGGAACTGGTGATTAGAATTGAATACTTCTTTTTGTGTTAAATAATTCATTTATCGAGTAGGGCTATAAAATATCACATAAACAGCCTATAAATACCTACTGCTGACAAAGCCTCTTCTCACACAGAGAAGGTTAGAATATTAATCACCACGCTTGCTCATTGCGGGTTGGCAATTAGAAACTTATAATTAGAAATTATAAGCCTAGGTTTCCTCACGGTGTTTTCTAATACCGTCTGTCAGTGGTGTCTGGATAATCTTAGAAAGTACATGCCTATAACTCTGAAAAAGTGACATTGGTACTTGCCGTTGGCAAGTGTCGAACCCTCATGTATGAGAAGCGGGCGTCTTAAACCTCCGGGCCACCACGAGATATCACGCCACTACCAATAGCGAATCAAACCGCGATAGAGAAGCTAGTAATATGATGTTTCTCTGGTTTACTATTATATTTATTTTTATTTACATTTATCTGGAAATAATATCATCTGACAATCTCACACAAGTCTAGACAAATCTAAATATTGAAAGAGAACTCAATGCGATACTTATGATAATATATGTATATTCATAGAACATAATATTAATAATTTAGTAATTGAACTATTAAAGTATCAGTAGTTTCCTTCCAAAATTGTCCCTTTACTGAAAATTAGATAGTATCAAAGTTATTGCTTTGAACACAACACGTAATAATTCAAGTAACTTGTAAATTTTAGCGAAGTTCATAGTTGCGTAGTTTATAATGTTAATGGTTCTCTTTGATAAATATTCCAAGAGGAGCCGATTGAACTTTACAATGTTCAATTTACGTGAAAGGCAAATTACGCAATCGTTCACTTCAGTTCATTCACTCGCTCACTCAAAATGTTGACTCCTCGGTGACGTATAAAAAGAGATTCACTCTCATTTGTTTTTCGTTGTCCAATCACTTAAGAGCTTTGGGTATAGTACTTTTGAATTAAACAATCTGTAACTGAATCGAGACATATCGGTAAAGTATTGATTTAAATTGTGAATCCGTTCATTCAAGTGTAGTTAAGCTATTTTCAGTGGGCTGGGTAAATTGGTAGAAAGGTCTTGGATTATATTTTTTATTGAATCAGTAGATGGCTCTTGAAATATTTTGTTTTGTTTGTATACACGGCCACTATGAAATATTATTACACCGCGTTATAGTTTTATTTCATTCTCATGTATCTTATCATTCTACTTGCAGCTTGCTGTT